TCTTTTCTAGTTCTTTTATAGCCACCCTCCCCATTCTTAGTCTTCTTCAATTTTCCTGGCTGCTGTGCCTGTTTCTATCAATGTTTGATCCTAGATATGAGAACTCTTTTACTATTTCTATTTTCAGATTGTGTAGGTTGAATTTGTGTAACTTCTCTTTGGTCATTATTTTTATTTTCTTTATGTTCAGCATTAAGCCTGCCTTAGCATTTTCTTCTTTGATATTCCTTGGTAAGTGTTCCAGGTCTGTGAAGTTTTCTGTTAGTATTATAGTATCATCTGCATATCTCAGATTGTTGATCTTCCTTCCTCCTATTTCCACTCCTCCTTCTTCTGTGTCCAAGCCTGCTTTTCTTATAATATATCCTGCATACAAGTTAAACAGATAGGGTGAAAGGATGCAGCCTTGTCTGACCCCTTTGACAATTGGGGACCATCCTGTTTCTCCGAATTCTGTTCTGACAGTAGCCTCTTGTCCTGAGTACAGATTCCTGATCAGGACTATCAGACTTTAGGGTTGCCATAAGATGGGAAGGCACACAGCACCTGGTTTCCTTGAGTCCCACTTTGGGGGAATAGATGGGATACAAATGAAATGGTGGATTTATTAATTGAAAGTTTGGATTAAAACCCAGATTAGATTTACCACCCCAGTGGCATAGAAGCAACATTGCACGTATGCGCTAGCAACCCTGTTCAAAACTGTGTTATTGGCATGACTTTGTCGTCGGAAATACACCAAGTAAGTTATTGAGCCCTAAGGCATAAGGGGCAAAGTACTATCTAGTGAAAAAAATAAAGAAAATTAAATTAGAAATTGTTCTCCCGTGAAATGTCTAAATTCAGTTTTGAAGGGTATTTATTCTCTTTCTTCCCCCCCCCCCCTCCTTCTGTTTCTTAGACACATCTTTAGAGGAAGAAATAACATTTTTTTTCCAGGGGAGGATTAAAGAAAGTTGGCTAATTAGCTGTAGTTTTAACTCCTTTAATTACTTTTATCCCTGGAGCCCCATGAATATTTAGATGGAGCAGATGACATAACGAAAACAGTAGCATTCACACTCTTTAAGTTTAATGAACTTACATGTTGTTTCCTTCGGCAGACGCTTGAGATGTTTCACACATGTTCTCTCCCATATTCGGTTTTGTGACCTGTTTAAGTCAAGGATGTGGTGGTACACACACATTTCCCCTCGACGTGGGAATAATCCATGTGCAAGAAAACGGTGCTGTCCAAAACATCTGGAACACACAATGATAGTGCTTTGATTCCACTTTGACTGCCATGGCTACAACCTATGGAATAATGGGATTTGTAGTTTGTGAAGGTACTGGAGCTCTCTGGCATAGAATTCTAAAAACCTCTTGAAGCTACAAATCCTAGGATTCCTTAGGATGAAGCCATGGCAATTAAAGTGGAAACTAAGGATGCATCAGCACTGCAGCAATAATCTGGTTGACACCGCTTTAACTGCCATGGCTCAATATAATCTGGGAATTACAGTTCATTGTGCAACAAACTACAAATCCTAAAATTCCATAGTATTGAGCCATGGCAGTTAAAGCAGTGTCAACCCGGATTATTTCCGCAGTGTGGATACAACGTAAGTTTTATAACTCTGCAATATCAAAACGGTAGTGTAGAGGTTTGAATGTCGGACTAGAACTCTGGAGACCAGGGTTTGAATCCCTGCTCCACTATGCAAACTCACTGGACAAGTCACACACTCGCAGCCTCAGAGGATGGCAGTGGCATCCCTCCAACAAATTTTCCCAAGAAAACCCTGATCTCAGGGTAGCCATAAGTAAGAAAGGACTTGAAGACACATAACAACAATAGTGTGACAAGGCAGATCAGCGAGGTCAGGTTTATCTTTCATGTTGATTTTGTATGCTATTTTTCTTTTTACTTTCTAAATTGTGCTTCTGTTAAACATATGAGCCATGTTGAGTTTTCACACTAGAAGGTGGGGTATAAACTATTAGTCTTTCCTGACCTGGTATCCCCTGGGATGTGCTTGGATTACAAGCCCTATCACTCTCAGCCATCAGCTGGATGAGAATGATGGGAATGGAGTCCCACCATATCCCAAAGTGCAGTTGGAAAAGTCTTGTTTAAATCAATTTTTTAATAAGTCATGATGTTAGGACACTTCTGCATGATCAAGTTTGTTCCTGAGACACCAGAATTGGATTGTTCAGACCAAAGGAGTAACATTCTTTTTCTTTAAATTACAGCCCAGAGACCCAGCAAAATCAAATTCATAACATATAAAATAAATTAAAAGCACAAAAGGAAGAATTAGCCAATTCATACAGACTAAGCTTATTTTGAAAAATTTTCCTTAGCACAGAAGTTAGCTGTTCTCTGATCCTGACCGCTTAAGACAAACTTGTCAACCACCAAAATCACACTGAGAACCTTATCTTCTAAAATAAGGATTTGACATAAAATTGGACTAGTTTTCCTGGTAGATTTGCCATTTATGGATTAATCATGTGTCATTGAGCCTGCTTGTAAAAACCACATGTGCTTCATCGATTGTACTTCCTGATTCATCTTAAGTAAAAATGAACTCTAAATTAATTAATTTTCATCTCATGAAAACTCTTGCCCTTGTTTTTAAAATAGTTTTTGTCAGTTGAATATTAACAAAATTTCACCCTTCTGAGTCAGAGAGCAATCTGTATAAAAACAGGCTATAAAAATGCACTGAAATAAAAATGGGTATTTTTCCTCCCTTAGATCTCAGTTGGCTTGCACGAGTTCGAGTGAATCAACCAGCGGTTCTTCGACGGGCAGCCCAAATTCAGACACAACGTGCTGTGAAAAAGAATTGGCAGGTAAGTCCTCCATCCTTCTTTGAGTATTCTCATCTCACCCTTCTAAAACAGCTGTTTCTGCCTTAGTGGATTTTAATGTGGAGTTTCCTTCAAGACGCCAGTAAAGTCAAACGTTTCAACCCACCTTCAGCATCCTCCAAAATTAATTATTAAAAGACAGCGATTGTAGGCTGAGAAAAGATAATTTTTTATACAAACCATTTTCAGGGTGGATCGGTAGCAACTCAAGAGGACTCACAAAACCACGAATGAAATGATCTTGCTTAAGTGCAACCATTTTGCAAAGTGGCACACAGCCCATGGTGTATCTAGAAATAATGCTATGCTGCAGCTCAGAGCAAAATATTTTAGAAAATTTCATGGATCTTTACTTTAAAATACAAGGTAGTGGAAGAAATGTGTTAAAACCAATAACCCTTTTAAGTTCTTTCCACTGAGGTTAAAAAAATAAGCATTAATAAGGTTTGAACAGGCAAGTGGCTATTTTAAGGATAACAAGCTTCAGGTTAAAATCTGGGTCAAGCGTAGATTTGGCTCCCATGTAAGCCAGCAGTAGGCAGAGGATACATCTACAGTAGAAATAATGCAGTTTGACATACTTTCTATAAGTTCCATCCTACAGAATCCTGGGATTTCTAGTTTTGTGAGGCACTAGCTCTCTTTGGCAGAGAGGGCTAAAGACCTTGTAAAACTATATATCCCAGGATTCCATAGGATTGAACTATAAGCACTTAAAATGGTGTCAAACTGCATTATTCCTCCAGTGTAGATGACCCAGAATTCCTAAATCTAAGCTAGATGTATTAGCCAAAACCCAGAGATGGGTATGAGTGGATTTTTTGCCTGCTAGGAGGTTGCCGTGGCAGTTAAAGTGGAATCATAGTGCTGTAATTGTGTATTGCAAAATGGTCCCAGGCCTCTACCCCAAAGCTAGTTGGATGAACCCATGCCTTGAATGTAGAAGATTCGGTCCCTCGCATCTCTAGATAGGGCTGTATCTGCAATGCAGAAATAATGCATTTTGACACTGCTTTAACTGTCAAGGTTAAATTCTATGGAATTTTGGGATTTGTAGTTTTGCAAGCTATTTAACCTCCTCTGTCCGAAAGCTTGGGTACCATACCAATCTACAAATCCCAGGATTCCATAGCACGGATGCATAGCAGTTAAAGCAATCTCAAACTGGATTATTTCTGGAGTGCAGTTGCAGCCAAGGGCCAAGCAAACCACTTTAGGGTTTCAGGTGGAGGCTTAAAAGCTACTTGTCAAGCCAATGTGGAAAGGACAAAACTGGAGGGGTTATAAACCTCTTCATAAGCACTTAATGTTTGATAGCCATGCAGGAATAAATGACAATAATTTGTTCTGATTGCTCTTATTTTCTTTCTAAATAAAGGCAGCTTGGCTTCTGCGTGCTGTCACCTGCATAGACCTCACCACCCTTTCGGGCGATGACACCCCTTCTAATGTCTGCCGGTTGTGTTACAAAGCCAAGCATCCCATCAGAGAGGATCTCTTGCAAGCTATGAATATGCATGATCAAGGTATGGCAAGTTGTAACGAGTAACAAAACCCATTTGATTCAGTTCTGTAAATCTGGCAGCAGTATGAGCTGTATCAGTCTTGACTTGACCTCTGCTGATGGTCTTTTGCTGAAGCATTTGTATGAGCCAGATTGTATTGCTTCATGTAAAAAATACAGTCAGCCCTCTGTATCCACAGGTTTTCTATCCACGGATTTAACCACCCACTGCTTGAAAATATTCAAACATAATATAAATTCCAAATGAAATCTTCTTTTTGCCATTTTATATAAGGGACGCCATTTCACAGTGCCTTTGTATTTAATGGGACTTAAGCATTCACAGATTTTTGTATCCATGAGGGATCATGGAAGCTAATCCCAGCAGATACCAAGGGCCTACTGTATGCTTTTACTACTGTAACAGAATGCTGCAGTATGGAATCCTCCAGGTTGCTAGCTAGCCAGCCGTTATCCAGGATATTCCATTCTATTTTGACCTCTATTCCCCCCAAATTCTCAGCACGGTTAGCATTGAGCATTCTCAGTCTTTATATGACTGCCTGTTAGAGTCCTTCCCACCCCAAACTCTGTTTATACAGGTGTACTTGAGTTAACAAAGTATAGATGCATTCCTGGACATTCCTTCTTTTGCAGAAAATTTGGTACCAGAGTCAAAAATAACATGGAAAAGAATAGGGGTAGGTTCCTGTGTCACAAAAAAGAAAAGAAAAGAAAAGCAGTTCAGCATAGAATCCTAGAGTTGGAAGAGACCTCAAGAGTCATCCAGTCCAACCTTTTTGCCATGCAGGAATTCACAATCAAAGCATTCCCAACAGATGGCAATCTAGGCTTTGTTTAAAAATCTCCAAAGAATGAGACTCCACCATTCTTGGAGGGAGTGCGTTCCACTGTCAAACAGCTCTTACTGTCAGGAGGATCTTCTTAATGTAGAGATGGAATCGTTTTTCCTGTAACATGTTTCAGCAAATGTTTTAAAATGCAAGACAAGTACATCGACTCGGGTTGCCAGAATGAAAACTGGAGATGATTTCTGTTGGGTGGAAAAGGGAATTTCAACAGGTGTTGTTTGTCATGGAACCACTTAAGAGGTATGGAGAACAAAATATACGAGGAAAGGTTAAAGGAGCTGGGCATGTTCAGCTTGGTGAAGAAAAGACTGATGGATGACATGATTGCCCCCTTTAAATACCTGAAGGGCTTCCACAGAGAGAAGAGGAAGGTCTGTTCTCTGCTGCCCCAGAGGATAGGACCAAGTCTAATGGTTTTAAGTTACAGGAGAGTAGATTTCGATTGAACGTTAGAAGGAACTTCTTGACAGTAAGAGAGGTTCAGCAATGGATCCAATTAGCTAGAGATGTGGTGGTGTCTCCTCTCCAGGCATCTTCAGAAAGAGGATGGACAGCCACCTGCTGCAAATGTTTTAGTTGGAGATCCTGCACTGAGCAGAGGGTTGGATCCTATGGCTTATGGATCCAACTCTTATGAATGCTGAAATTCCTTCTTCTACACAATCATTAAAGGTAGAGGAGCTCTCTCCAGTTTTCACTCCGGCAACCTCACTAGGGATGGTCCCTATAGTAGTCAAATTGTTAATTTGAACCAAATAGCAGACATTTTTTTCTGCTAGAGTGCTGAGGGGGTTGGAGAGTTTGTGACACCCAGTGCCTTCCAAATATTTTACCCCAACATCCCCATTGAGAGTATGGGAGCAGTTTTGACAAATTCCCCTTCTTCCATCCATTTTAGTCCCAGGAGAGGCCTTTTTCACACAGAAAGTTACTGAGACGTCAGTTTCTGGGTCATTTCCTCTCAGAAAAAAAGCCTCTTTTAGGCCTAAAATGGTCCAGAGACGGACAAAATGTTGCCCCCCACCACAGGAGGCATGAGAGCATTTGGGTGATATATGTAGAATTTTTTTTCTATATGGATGTGGCCCTCCAAATTTTCCTCCAGGACCAGTTGTCTACTCCTCTAGTAGAGAGGCTTCATCACTCCCAGGTATGAAACTATCTTTGAAAATCAGTTCAAAAAACCAAGCATAAGCTGCGGGATGTGTTCTGGACAAGAGCTACTGGAGGATGTCAGTAACTACGATGCTCAACTGTGATTCCTTTGCAGGCATCACTACAGCTGCTGTCTGTGTCTATCCAGCTAGAGTAGCTGATGCAGTGAAGGCGCTCAAGGCAGCTGGATGTAACATCCCAGTAGCTTCAGGTAAGTCTTCTAAGCTTGGATTTCAAAAGTCAAGATCTATTTTCATGGCTGGTAACATTTTTGGAGGTGATGGACTAGACCAGGGGTAGGCAACCTG